ACTGTTGAGCTCGCCAGTTGACTGTGCCAAGTCGCCCTCGTAAGTGTGATCTCTCTTTGTCCGAGACTCCGTCTGTAGGTTTCCGTCCACGTCGTATCATGATGGGCTCCACGTTCAGGCTGTAACCCGAAAAGGGATTTAAGAACCCCCCCCCCTCCTGCGAAACGATAACCCTGCGCACCCTGGCAGCGTTATCCTGGCACCGGGAGGGGGGGCGGATCCTACGGGCCCCGCGGGTCTCGCAGGGGGGGGGGTTCTTAATCGTTTCTCACGGTCAGCACGCACACACACACACACACACACACACACACGCACACACACGCACACACGCGCACGCACACACACACAGCCCGGAATCGTCTGCTCCCATAGAATTCAAGAAGACTTCAGCCCTCGTCGATGGTCAGACCATCCAGCTGTGGTCAGTTCTGGTGGAGAACACGTTCTGTCAGGCGAGCTTCCTCACCTGGTCGCCAGACAGCTTGTACGTGTATTTCCAGAGGCTTCTTCACGAAGAGGACGATGAGGGGTCCAGACTTCAGGCCGAGGCCTTCAGGAGATCCATCAGCCGGTACGAGAAGGTCTTCTTTCCAGTTCAGTGTCCTCAGGGCGAGGAGACGCACGAGCCAGGCCATTGGACCCTCCTGGTCATCGAGGCGATGGAGAACGGCGTCAGGCTGGAGGAGCCTCGGATCAGGTACTACGAGACCTTGGACAAGGTCAATGAGGTGTGTCGGGAGAGAGCGATGCTTCTCCTTCAGGCGATCTTTCCGAACCTGAGCAACACCTCACTCGTCAGTGCGCTCACGAGGCATCAGGTATTCAGGCAGGCTGGAACGGATTGCGGATACTGGGTCATGCATTACCTTGAGCTGGAGGTGAGGAGGCTGTCAGGTGAGGGCGGCGCTCCGATCACCACGCCTAAAATCAGGAAGAATGCCATGATCAGTAAATGTGTCAGCGCGGTCAAGCAACATGAAAAAGCGAGGGACACCTGGCCTTCAGACGCTCAGCTTGAGGACGCGAAGCGCACGGCTGCCCAGACACTCCTTCAGGCGAAGACTACGACGGCGCAGACAGATGAGAAAGAGGCCCACGAGCTCAGGAACAGAGCTGAGGAGGCGGCGCTCGTCAGTATATGGTGCAAGACGCTTCCCGATGCCATCCCCGACGACCCGAAGGAGGTGAGGAGGAGGCTCAGGGCGGAAGAGAACCAGAAATTGAGGCAGGAGGTCATGGACGCCGTCAGGAAGATCATGGAAAATCAGACCCATGAGAGTTCGGGTAAATTTGCCAAACCTGCCAGTCAGGGAGGCGCTCAGAAGGAGGTGGCCAAGGAGGCGCCTGAGGCTCCGCCTGAGGGCAAGCCCGCAGCGGAGACGGAGGCCCAGGGCAAGGCCGCTGCTGAGGCGGAGGCTCAAGAGAAAACCGCTGCTGGGGCCGAGGCGCAGGAGGCGCAGGTCAAGGCAGCTGCTGAGGCGGAGGCTGAGGCCCAGGCCGAGAACAAGGCCGAGGCGCAGGTCAAGGCAGCTGCTCAGGCGGAGGCACAGGCCAAGGCCGCCGCCGAGGCGAACGCCCAGGCAAAGGGCGCTTCTGAGACGGAGGCTCAACCCAAGGCTGCTGCTGAGGCGGAAGCTCAGGCCCAGACCGCTGCTGAGGCGGAGGCTCACGCCAAGGCCAAGGCCGCGGCTGCTGAGGCGATGGCTCAGAAGGAAGCCCAGGAGCAGCTGGCAGCGTCGGACCCTAAGGAGAAGGGACAGAAAGGCTTCGAGAAATGGTTGAGGAGCTTGCCGTTGCCAGTTTTTCAGGCGGCGTTCGACCAGATCCAGTTCACGAGCCTGAACAAGGACGAGTGTCAGGCGTACGTCAGCCACGTGGAGATGATCCAGACAGCGCAGGTATGTGCTAAGTGCGAGTACCGCTCAGGCTGCGTCGCGCGCAGCCATGAGCACGCCCTAGGCATTGCGCGAGGCATGGGAAACCGCCGTCGTGGTGGAGGATGAGCACGATGAGCGTGCTCAGGGGCATGTGCAGGTGAATAAGGCGTAGTGAGCTTGCCAGCCTGCGTTAGGCCTCCTTTTGGGAATTCCGGCTTTCAGTGCTCGCGTCCTCAGCGAGACTGCCAGATTGTCTCACTTGAGACTCCGAGACCGCCAGGGCGTTCAGGCGCCGAGGGCAGGCGTCGCGAAGAAACGATTCAGGTTGCTTCTCTCTTTCTGACAATCCGTTTCAATTGTCTCACATTCCATGGCGCTGCCGCGCGACTCCGCCACCGCGCTCGGGTGGGCGATCGCGGGGAGGGGCCGGGGTGCCCCCCCCGTGGCTTGGACGCAACAAGGGGAGCTTCAACTTCAATTATTGCTTCGCAAGGAGCGAAGGAACACGACGCACACTTAGGACGTCATAGTAAATCAGCTTAGTTTGCCCGCAGTTTTTCTTTTGTTGTTCCACAGCTTTTGCTCAGCTTTCCTTTGCTGTTTCTATTTAGTTGCCCTTAGCTTTCCGTTGCTTTCCTCAGCTTTTTGTTTGCGTATCCTCAGGGTTCCGCAGCTTTTCCTTAGCTTTTCTTGAGCTTATCTTCGCATGTCCGCAGGTTTGCTTCAGCTTGTCCCCCGATTTTCCTTACCTTGTCTCAAGCTTTCCTCAGCGGATCCTCAGATTTACGTGAGTTTTTTTTTATGAGCTTGTTTTCAATTGTCGGGCTTTCTCAGATGTCCTTCGATTTTCTTAAGTTGTCCGCAGTTTTTCCGTGGGTTTCTGAACTTCCGATTTGTTTACCTTTTTCTCTAACAGCAGATGTGTTTCGGTTTCTTTCAGTTCTCCATCGGTTTCTTTCAGTTCTCCAGCTTTGCTTCACCTTGAGGTTTCCCTGCAGATCCCCTCATTTTTTTTGGAATGGCGGGTGCTAAGGTAACGCCGCGGTGCGGGGCGGCGGGGATATCAAAGGGGTTTGCTATAGAAATCGCAATGAGAAAAAGAGGAGGGGGAGAGGGGCGGAGGAGGGGGAGGAGGAGGAGAACACATCCAAGACGGCCCCTGAGGTGACAGAAAAGGCCAATTCCGTTTCAGGAATCTAAGCCTTTCCTCAGTCGTACAATTTCTTACAAGCTTATTTTTCAGATTACAGCCGAGTTCACGAGGTCCTCGAAGTCATTCCAGTTCAGATCAGTGCAGCAGAGAGTTCTGAGCTTCTCCGTAGCCATTGTGGCTCAGTTTTCAGGCTCAAGCTTCAGGCTTCGACTTTCAGCCGCCGACAGCAACAGCTCACCTTCTCGCGCAGAGCATTCAGCTGGATGGAGTTCAAAGGAGCGATCGACTGGGATGCTCAGGCGCCAGATACAGCAGGATGGAGTTCAGAGGAGGGGGAGCGCGCGAAGATGCACTCGATTCCTCAGGGAGAGGACGCCTTGTCGCTCAGAGAGCGGAAGAGGCTCAAAGCAGAGGCTAAGAGAGAGGCCGCTGCTTGGCGCAAGGCCCAGGCCAAGGCCGCTAAGGAGGCGGCGTCCACGAAGCCGACCGGGCAGCTTGGAGGGAGGCGCTTGTTGTTGAGGAAGCGCCCTGCAGCTCAGGGAACACCCAGGAAGAGGCCCGCCTCAGAGGTGAGCAGGCAGCAGCGCTCAGGCAGCAGCAGCGCGACGACGAGTCAGGACTCCCACAGCGGCAGCTACGATGAGCCGCCCAAGAGTCAGCGCACCGCTCAGCGGGGAAAGCCTGCCGCTAAGGTTGACGTGCTGAGCCGCCTCGGGCCTTCAGGCAGGGCGCCTTTCAGAGGCCTCCTCTGGGTCAAGCCAGGCTAGCGTCTCTCAAGCGCCCTGTCATATCTCTGCACTTTGCCCAGGCCGCACCTCGCCGTCCGTTGCAGAGTTTAGGCTTTCAGTGTTCGCGTTATCAGCGATCCCGCCTTCCTTTTCAGAGATCTGGTTCTCAGTGCTCGCGTCGTCAGCGAGACCGCCAGATTGTCTCACTTGAGACCCAGAGAACGCCCGAACGTTCAGGCGCCGAGGCCGGGCATCGCGGAAAAAAGAATCAGCTTGCCTCTTGCCCGTTGCCAGTCCGATTAAGTTATCTCAGATTCAGCGGCGTTGCCGCGCGGTTCCGCCACCGCGCTCGGGCGGGCGATGCAACAAAAGGGGGGGGGGGGTCTAATTATTGTTTCGCAAGGAACGCAAGGCCAGGACACGCAAACAGGGCATCTTCGCAAATTCTGACGCTTCGCGTGATCCCCACCAGCCCCTCCAGAACCCATCAACTTGAACAGGGAAATCAGATGTCCTCCGTTTTTTTTTCCCCCGCAGCTGTATCTAGAGTTTTCTCAGCTTTTCCTTATGTTTTTTTATATATATATATATATATATATATATATATATATATATATATATATATATATATATATATATATATATATATACATATACATATATATATATATAAAGGAAAAAATCTGAGCTTTTCCTTAGTTTACTTGAGGTTGTCATGTCTGTTCAATGTTTATGTTGCTGTTTTTAGCTTTTCTTACATTTTCGTTAATTGTTTCATCACCTGTTCCGTCGTGTTCTTCACCTGTTCCGTAGTTTTCTCTATGTTTCTGAGGTGTTCCTCCGCTTTCCTAGGCTTCTACTCAGCTTTTCTTCAGTTTTGTCAATAGATTTTCCTCAGCTGTTCCTCAGCTTTCCTGGGCTTCTCCTCAGCTTGTCCTCGACTTGTCTCCAGGTTGTCTCAGTGTTCTTTAGCTGTTCCGTAGTTTTTCCACAGCGTTTAGCTCTTCCCCCCCTTTCTTTAGATTTGCCTCAGTTTTTTCTTCAGCTTGTCCTCGGTTGTTCTTCAGATTTTCGTTAGATTTTCCTTCGGATGTCTCAGTTGTCTGTATGGTTTCACGAGCTTTCCCTTAGGTGTTCTAAGCATTTCTTTAGTTTTCTTTAACTTTACTTACGCTTTTCCTCAACGGTTCCTCACCTAGTTTTTTTTTTCTCCGCTTTTCCTTACCTTTTTTCGTAGCTTTGCTAGGTATTTCTCATATCCTTACTCCTCAATGGAAACCAGAGAGATCTTCGCTTGCACTCTTCACATTCATTGCGAGTTTCTTTCTTGGCCCCATAGGGAACTCCGCCGCATTTTTTTGTGCGGGTGCTAAGAATATCGTTCGGCGATTATGCCCCCTGAGAATATTGAATAAAAACCGGGTGATAATAATAACCCCGGGGGGTTCTTAAATCCTTTTTTCGGGTTAGCTGCCTTGTGCGAGACTGCAAGTGAGATCCTCGTTCTGACGGATGATGATACCGCACTGCACGAATGATCGGCTTTCCCAGGGGGTCCACTCGAATGCTTGTTGGATTTCCATGTCGCTTCTTGAGAAAGCCCGCGTGAGTATGATCGCCGGCAATCATCATGCCGTCAACGTGTAGGATGACCATGCCGACCAGCGTAGTGCTGTCTCGGATGGCCCAGACGCATGGCTCGCACTGTATCGCTTCCAGTTGCAGCATCTTGAGCGTTTCTTTGAAGTGTAGCCACCACTTGCGAGGAGCAGGTACGAAGCCGTACATCGGCTTGAGAAACTGCAGGACCTCGTCGTCTTTCATGCCGAAGGCCTGACGTACGTCCTTCGGGAGGTCCGCGTAGATCTTCCGTTTCTCCTCGTCCGTTTCTCCCTGGAGGAAGGCAGTAACGGCATCGGCCTTCTCCAGCTTCCACTTGTGTTTCGCTGCCATGGCCAGTAGAAGTTGACGTGCCCGTCGCGATGCAGCTGGAGACTCCGTCCGTAAATGAAGCAGGTCGGGGTCGCTGAAACCGAGCACGACCAATCTGGCCTTGCCCCTGAGCGCGTTGCCCTTGTCATCCTTCTTCCAGGTCAGCACGAAACGGCAGCGCAACAGACGCGCTGGGTCGATCCCCTGTCGTCTGAGGATCCTGACGGCCTTCGTGCTGAGGACGGAGGTGCACTCCTGCTGCTGTGCCTCGAGTAGCAGTTTCTTCACCTCTGGGGTCGCCTTCTTGAATGAGACTTCGACTCGGCCCTTCCGGGCCTGCGATGCCAAGAAGTTGTTGGGGTCGTCCATGTAAGCCATGATCGTGTGCTCGTTGTTGACAGGGATGTCCAGCACGATGAGCTCGTCGTCCTCCTTGACCACGTCATACGGCTGGACGCTGTAGGCGTAGTCCCCGTAGAAGGTACCCTCCTGCAGGTAGTGGGAAATAGTCCTCCTGGGTCGCCATGTTGATCCGCTGCTTCTTGATCGGGGGCCCCGTTGATCCTGGCGATCGTAGCCGAAGCTTGTCATTGTCGTTTGGCGCCGTCGTCTCGTCCAACTCATCGTCCGTGTCCACGGCCAGAGGTTGCTGAGTCGCGGGAGGTTCTTGATCGTCATCTGGAGGAGCCTCCATGATGATTTCATCTTCTGCAGTCGGTTCGGCTTCGGCTGGCTGCCCAGCTTCGTGGTCTTCAGTCTGTGGAATACCTGGTGGACTTTCTGGTGGTGCTGGCTGGATGAGAGGTCCCTGGGCCTCGGTAGCCTTATCCCAGGGATTGCACTTCCTCCGTAGTCGCCTTGGCGGTCGCGGGCCTGGGAGCGGTCGTTCCTCGAAGCCTGGTGGGGCTGATGGGGCTCCACCGCCTCCGCCACCGCCTGGGTCCAAGCTCCGAGGATCTCCTCGTGGAACAGGTAGGTCCTCGTCTTCAGGGATGGCCCAGGGTCCGCTTGCGTTATTCTCGAAGGTGCGGGTGCTGACCGACTCTCCGTTGTCAGCGGCCAGGTCCTCACCAGTGGGTGGGGACTCGTTCGACAGGTCGATCACCTCGTTCGTGTCGAGCTGCTTCTGGACGTCGCCGAAGGTCCATGTTCCAGGCTGCTCGCGGCGCGAGCGTAGCGACGCCATCGCCTCCTCGGAAGGCGTGGCGGGCCGAAGTTGTTCGGGAGCAACTCGGTAGAGTCGTCCAGCTAGCGCGATGTTGACCACCGTCCCGGGCAGACCAGGTCGATGTCCTGAGTTGGCAGGCTCATGGCAGAGTACTCGTCCAGGTCCGTACCAGCGGCCTCGTCCTGGCATGGATCGGGGTTGTCCTCGCTTGCGCCAGGCTCCTGGTGGGAGCCGCCTGTAGACGAATACCAGGTCGCCCGTCTCGTACTTCTTGAACGATCTGAATATTGCGGCCTCCGCACGCTTGACTCGGTCGGAGTTCTCTGTCTGGATGTGAGCTAGCCGTGCCATCCGTCGTACTTGAGCGTACCTGCTGAAGGTGCCATCCTGCAGCTCGGCGCTGACGAGCGGCAGGTTGGTCGGCTCGTCGAAGAGGTTGACCGTGGTGCCAGTGGGTGTCCGTCCCGCATAGCGCTGCAGCGGACTGAAACCGTCGATCCTGATCACGTCGTTCCTGGCTGCTGTCTGTAGTCCGAACATCTCGCTCGTGGGAACTTCAGCTGAGATCATCTCGTCGAAGGCGTCAAGGGCCTCCTTGAAGGCTTCGATGGCTCGTTCGATCTTGCCGATCTGCCAGTGGGCGTCGGCAGCGCATGGGAGGCAGTAGACTCCCTGGCTCTCGATCCACTCGCGGAACTCATCGGAGATGGCGCTCCCAGCTGGATCATAGCGCATGACCTTCGGCCGTCCCATCCAAGGGAACCACTTCGTAGCAAAGATGTGTCGAAGGTCGCCCGCACGAACTTGTCGGCAGGTCCCTGGGATCGCTTTCTCGTCGATAAGCCGCACGTAGAGTATGTCCGAGCCAGCGTCGAGGATCGCTAGCGCCATCACGTTGGTGTTCGTGCTGCGGCGGATCCAAGAGAAGGCGTCGAACAAAACTTCGTGACCATTCTGAGGCTGCTCTGCTGAGGAAGCTGGTGGCCGCTTCGTCGGTGGTCGGTGAGCATCACAGATGTCGCACTTGAAGGTTCTGGCCAATCGTAGCACCTCAGGTCTCGCACCTCGGTCTAGGTAGCGTAGAAGATGTGCTCGAGGTAAATGTCCCAGGTTGGTGTGAACCAGCCTGATGTAGCTCTCGTCCTTCTTGACTGTGTCGCTGGTGAGGTCGTGTGACTCCTTGCCATCTAGTGGTGGAATTGATGCCTCGTCCTCCTCTGGAGTCGGCTCAGTAGGTGGCTGCTGGGTAGCGGCCATACAGAAATTCACGACCTCTTCTTCGAAGTAATTCTGATTCTGGCTCTTGGTCAGAGCTCGGAGGATCCGGCGGCACAGCATCTTGGGATAGGAGCCCGAGGCCTCGGTCCTCAGACTGCTCTCGATCTCCTCATGATAGTGTCCTCCACGACATTGTAGCGGCTGGAGGGCCACCCAGATCCCCTTGTCGTTCGTCAGGAACTTCCAGCGCTTCTTCATGAGCTCGCCTGTGCCCGGGGCTTCGAGTCCGCAGGAGCAGCCGTCTACGATCACCTCGTAGGGGAGAATATTGTGCAGGTCCTTCCAGCAGGTCTTCTGCCACGAACGACTGTTGTGGCTGCTCGGCGAGGGCCGAGCCATTCAGGTGAAGCACCTGATGCTCGATGAGCCTCTTGTTGTTCTCGAAGATCCGCTGGCTCTTGAGTCGCTTCTTGCGCAGATTCCTTCTGCTTGTCGTCGCGCTGGTTGATATTCTGCATAATCGACCACGGCCCGCAGGTAGGTGTGCTGACGAGGAGCTCGGGGCGCCTCTCGTCCAGCAGGAACTTCGCCTTGTGGTAGCCCTGCGGCTTGCTGAGGTCGCAGTCGTTGAACAGGCCGAGTCTCTCGTAGTGGTAGCCCTTCTCGTCGCAGACCTGGCCAAGGTTGGAGTCCTCGTGGGTACACGCCTCGACCATCGTCAATCTGCCGAAGGTCGTGAGCGCGCACATAGCTCCGAAGATGGCCGACCTCGTCGAGTGGGTAGCTGCACGAATGGCCTGACGCTAATGGCCTCTCAGTGGGCGGCTCTCGTCGCTTCCCGAGCGTAGCTTCTCGGCCTGAATGTCACTCAGGTCCTCGCCCTGCTCCCGCACGCCTGGTGGCACCACCCGAAGGGCCTCACCTTCACGATCGGCTCGTTCTTCGCGATGCCCCGCTGCTGCTGACAGTCTGGGTGCTGGCACATCTGCGTGTAGTGCGCTGGGATCGCCGGGCCCACAACGATAGGCCCCGTCTCCACCTTCTTGGTCTCCGGCTCCTTCTTGACCCTGATCGTCGCTGCCGCCGTTCCGCGCTGCTCGATGATGCGCGTGATGAGCCTGTCGATCACCTCCTCCTTCTTGCCGGACTGCGTCAGTCCCCAGGCCTTGCACAGGGGCTTCAGGTGATTGACCACCGTCACCATGTTGAGCTTCTCGTAGATCTGTTCCGAGCTGAGCGCTGCAAACGCATCCACCTTCGCATACTTGGTCGAGAAATCTGACTTTGCGGTCTCGATGTTGGCCCGCAGCTCCTGGTTCTGCTCTCGAGCGGCCGCGGATGCGGCTGACCTCTGCTTCGTCTCCGTCCTGGGGCGCTGTGGCTCGATCTTCGCACGATGCCCGAGCTCCGCCAGCCAGGTCGGGTACTTCTCGGGCAGGCTGCACAGGGAGGCCGATGCTGTCCAGTTTCCAGGTCACCCGGTCGATCGTCTTGAGGAAGACCTTGATGATGACCCGCCCCCAGCGGCGGCACATCGTCCATTGCTTCAGGAGCTTGCTGGACCACATCTCCCAGGTCGGCAGGTGCTCCAGTAGGAAGGTGTCCGTCAGGCGCTTCAGGCTCTTGTCCAGCTCCGAGCCCTCGACCGTGTAGAATATGTTGCCCCTCGTGTCCTGATGCTGGATCAGACGAGCCGATGGCGGCATCGGCTGCGTAGGTCTCGTTGACGTCGGAGGGCGAGTCGGAGCGCCTGCATCCAGTGGCGGCACCGCTTCCCATGATCCGACCATCTCCTCGTTCTCCAGCTTCACCTGCTGGCTCTCGGCTTTGCGGCATTTCGCCTCTCGGTTGAGGCTCATGCGAATATGGAAGAAATGCTGGTTGCTGGAATCTGAGCTCTGGGCTCGGATCTGTTGCGCCATAAATGGCTCTGGAAGGCGGGAGCGTTGGGGTCTGAAGCTCTGGGAACTTGGGGATCTCTGGGAGAGTCTCTGTAGGTGTTCCTGATAATGTCATAGTTGGTGCTGTAGGGGACGATTCTGATGATGTCCATGACGTTTGTAAGGATGATGTCCCCGCAGTCGTAGGTAATGATGGTGCCCCCGTGGTCGTAGGTAATGATGATGTACCCGTGGTCGTAGGTAATGATGATGTACCCGTGGTCCTTTTAATGATGATGCACCTGAGGCTTGTGGGGCTCCATTGTCTGGGACCTTGTCGGGGACCTTGTGGGGTACAGCTGCAGACGGTCTAGATATCTCGCTTTGGATTGGCTGCTTATTTTCAGGTTTTCCCTCCGGCACCGTAGCAGTCTCGGGTGTCGAGGGCGCGCACCCCTACTCGAGGGATGCCACGAAGCCAACATCGGCTTGACGTATAAGTGGCAGTGCAAGGCGGCCGCTCGGAAGGACTAGCAGCTCAGCTCGGCGCCCGAGCTTCTTGAAGTAAACAGCGTGTGCCTCGCAGTCAATCACAGCCCCGAGGCGGCTCTGCACGTCCACTCCGATCAGGAGCGGGGCTTCTGCGTCGAGGATGTTGATCTCTAGCTCGCCGTCCACACCGGCGATCATGAGGGGAAAGGTCGCCTTGCCGGTGCAGGTCCTGGCATTGCCGTCGCCAAATATAAACGTACTCTTCTGACTAGCGTCCATCCTGATGTTCTTGCCCATCTGCTCGTAGATAATGTCGCGTAGGTTCTCGGCGGCCTCTATGCCCATGATGCTGGAGGTCGCGCCGATGTCGAGAATGCCGAAGCCCTTGGAGGAGCTCTGCTTGACACTCATGAGAATCCAGTCCTCGGCCTTCTCCAGGGTAGACCAGATCGGTAGCTTCTCGTGCTGGACTCGTTCTCGCAACTCGATGGCCCTCTCGATCGGCATGTAGGAATTCTTGTCCAGCTGCTTCTTCTGATTGGCGGTCTTCGGCCGATTCTTGATCACTGGCTTATTGGCAATGGATGCTTCCAACCGCAGCCTGGACATCTCGTTCGTGATGAGGTTAGCTTCCATCTCGGCATCCTGCTCGGTGCCGAAGAAGACGAAAGCTCCGAACCCCTTTGTGTGTCGCTCTCGGTCGCCCCTGCTGCCAGTAGAGGATGCGCGTTCTCGATCTCGATGATCCTTGGTCTCGCGGTTGCCGCCGCATTTCAGGCATGGTCCTTTCCTGGGACTGGGAGGCCGACCTTGGGAGCGATCACCTTCTCGTCGGGGTGGTCCGTCACGTCGCTGTCCGCTCCCGCGGCCTCGTCCCTTGGATGACCCTGAGCCTCTAGATCCAGCCCGGGGCCCTGGCGGTTTGCGATGTCCACTTCGGTATTCTCGTTTCTTGTTCTCATCCACGGGGTAGAATTTCCTGGCGGTCTTCACTCGTCTCAATAAATCTCGGGCCTCCTCGAAGCTCCTCTGCTGGGCGGCGAAAGCGGTCTCGGCTTCCTCGATCTCCTGGGCACTGTAGAGCGGCTCCTCGGGGTCTTCCTCATCCTCCTCGTCGCCCTGGCCGTCGTAGGTCGCATCGGACTCGTGCTCTTCGTAGTAGCTGTAGTCGTCGTCCTCCTCGCTGTTCGTTTCCCAGCCGGCATGTATTCGTCCCCGTTCTCGGTGACGGAAGTCCTTGCCTTGTTTCTTGTCCCGATTGGTCAGCCCATCATCTGGCCAGGAAACGCGTAGCTGTTCTCCGATGCTGTCGTAGTCGAAGTTACCCTTGACTGCGCTGATGACCGCTGCCCGCTCCGTCGGTGTCAGTCTCGATCGCTGTAGCAGTAGCCATCCGCGCAGCTGGTCTAGGGGGATCGCCTGATCGAAATCCGTCCCGAAGTCGGGATGCTCTGGGATCTCAAGACCCGTCTTGACGAAGTCCCAGAGCGAGTGGTTCAGCTCCTTGGCCTTCTCCGCAGCGTCCTCAGGGCCCTCCTGCTCGATCTTATACAGGAATCAGTTGAGCTCTCCGTAGATTTTATTCCACTTCTTGGCTCTCTCCGAGAGTCGGGCTGTGCGCTGCTTCTTGAAATATTCGGTGTCGAACCCCTTGACCACGTCATGATAGGCCTCATCGTCTCTGCTGGTGTAGCTTGGCATCGGTTCTCCAGTGTCCCGTCGTAGATCAAATATCCATCTGGCTAAATACTTTCCTGCATCCTGGATGCGTTGAGCTCCGAGCTTCGCTCTCACGTGTGTAAGCAGCTCGGTAGCTCCATCGTCCTTCTCGATGCGGTCCCAATCGACATCTTTGGCTGCTTGCCTCGCTCGTCCTTCAAGTCGTCTCCATAATCGTGGGCCGCACACAGAGCGTTCGTCTCGACGGGTCCCTCGTATGTAGGCCTTCACATCTCTTTCGTAGTCATCCACCGTGGTGAGATCTCCATTCCACTTCGGTACGATATCGTCTCCGTTATTCTTCGCCATAGTGCGTGGAATATGTCCGCGAACATATGTCCGTGGAGCGGTTGCTCCGCTACCATGCAATGGTCCCGCTGAATGGCCACTGCCCTGATACAATCCAGAATACTGATCTCCCTTCTCACAAGATATCAAACCAGGATACTAATCTCTCGTCTCTCTCGATGATGTGTGTGAGGTCGTTGATATTGGGGAATCTGGGGCAGTGTCTGTGCGACTCTGGTCGCACGATGGTGATGAACAGGATCTGTATTGGCGGGCAGTTCTCTGCTCTGCGTCTCCCAGACGCACACCAGTCAGTCCAGCGTCGCTGTGACGCTGCAAAGGCTTGAGCCAGAGCGGTTTCGGATGAACCTGTTCTTGGATATTATAATGGCGATCTCGGAGGATCTCGGAGGATCTACTAAGCAAGGCTGGCTGCAACCTGGAGGCTAAAGGGGGCCCGATTCGCCGGGATACGCAGGGATACATAAAAGAGGCTCCTGTGGAGTCTGATCCTATACATATGTTACGCTCGGCCTCTAGGGGCCATCTGTGGTAAGTAGGATCTAGATAGGCAGGCTCTGGGCTGTGAATTGCACTTCTGGAGGCCTCTTGGGCCGTCTTGGCAACCTCTTGGGGGCCTCTTGGGTCGTTTTGGGCATTGGTCCGTTTTGGTGGCCTCCTGGCTTGGATCGGGAGCCGTCTTGGAGACCTGTCTGGGCCGACTTGTGGCTCTCTTGGGGTGCTCCAGGGTTGTTTGGGAAACCGTCTTGGGCGTTTTGGACGCCTCATGGGCCGTCTTGGGGCCCTTTGGGGGCCGACTTGGGGGCCTCTTGGGCCGTTCCGCGGGTCATGTTGGAGGCCTCTTGAGCGATCTTGAGCGATCCGCGGGCCGTCGGAAGGCCGACAATAAGCAAATGCCAAAACCCTTCAACAACCCAAAGGGAATTCATTGGTGTTGGCCTCTTCGAGCCTTCCTGGAGGCCCTTTTGAAGGCTTCTTGGGCCGTCTTGGAGACCTCTTGGGGGCCCCTTGGGCCATCTCGGAACCATTTTGGGCCTGCCTGACGGCGTCGGGAGCCGTCATGGGGGCCTGTCTGGGCTGACTAGGGGCCCTCTCGGTGTGTTCCAGGGCTGTTTTGGCGGCCGTCTTGGGCGTCCTTGGAGGCCTCTTGGGCCGTCTCGGGGCCCTTTGGGGGCCGACTTGGGGGCCTCTTGTGCCGTTCCGCGGGCCATGTTGAGGGCCTCGTGGGCGATCTTGGGGCGATTTTTGATGGCTCTTGGGCTGTCCCGGGCCGTCGGAAGGCCGAGAAGACACAACATTTCAACATGCTTCAAAACCAATGGCACATCCTTGAATTTTGCCTCTTCGGGCCCTCCTGGAGACCTCTTGGAGGCTTTGTGACCAGTTTGGGAGGCCTCTTGGGGACTTCTCTGGCCGTCTTGGGCCATCTTGGGCTGTCTTGGTGGCTTCTGAGGCGAATTTGGAGGCATCTCGGACTCGCTTGGACCGTCTTGGGGGCCATCTTGGACCATCTTTGGGGAACGTGGAGGCCATCTTGGCCGTTTTGGATGCCATGTAGGGCCATCTCAGGTCTTCCGGGTTGCTGGCGGGACGCGCCGAAGCCCCGAGAGTTTTTGGGGGGAAGAGCCAAAACCAAACAAGTAAGGTTCAGTACGCCAAGCATCCCCCTGGCAAGACCACAGGTGGCGACGGATCTAATGGCCTTTGGTCCATCCCGCCACCGTGCCTGGCCTGTGGGGAAGAATTCTATTGGATGTTCGTTGGGATCTCGTGGGAGGCTTCTCGGGGGCCTCTTGGAGGCAGTTTGGACGCCTCTTGGGAGCCGTCTGGGAGCCTCTTGCGGCCTCCTGGGCGCCTCTTGGGGCCTCCTCGGGGCCTCCTGGGAGGGAAGGCATGGATTTTCGGTTCGCGTTCCCTCTTTAGGGTTCCTTTTGGGGCCGTCGTGTGGCCCTCTTGTGCCGTGGGCGCGTCTTGGACTGTCGTGGGATCCTCTTGGTTCGTTTCGGTACCCTCTTGGAAGCCTCTTGGGCCGTTTTGGAACGGTCTTGGGTGCCTCCAGGGTCGTCTGGGAGCGTCGGGAAGCCGAAAAGGCCAGAACGCCACAGTCCTTCAAACCTCAGGCAATCAATGATTTTGGCATATTGGGGCCCTCTTGGGAGGCCTCTTAGAGGCCTTTGGGGAGTCTTGGAGGCCTCTTGGACCGTCTGGGGGCCATCTTGAGCGTCTTAGAGCGATCCTTTGGCGACTTGGGACCCTCTTGGACCGTCTTGGCGGCCTCTGGGAGCCCTTCTAGCCCGTCTTAGGGCCCTATGGGGCCCGAGAAAGCCACGCGACAAGACGCAGCAAGCCCCAGGGGAACCGCGGGAAGCCCAAGGAGATTTGAGAATTTGGAGTCTGGGCCATGAAGAACTAACTCCCCAGGAGTGACGACTGAGGCTCGGAGGGGTAGTGGAAGGACTTGAGGACACGCCCCATCCGTGCCCAGCGGCACGGTGGCGGATCGCCCCCCGCCCCTTGAGTAAGCCCTTCTTTGGATGCTCGCACGTAGGGGTGGCTCGAGGGGGGGGCCTTCTCAGAAGGCAGGGGGCTTCTGAGAGGACGTGCTCCTTCTCAGAAGGGCCTGGAGGTTTTTACAGCAGGTTTCTTAAAAGGCTCTTACCTTCTGAAAAGCTCTCCCGCCCCCTAAAAAGGCCCCACCTCTCGTGGTCCCCCCTTGTGCGCGCCGCCAACTCCATCAGGGGAGGACAAGCCACCCCGACCCCTCCACAACTGGCGTTTACTAGACATCCGTGTGTACGCCTACTGGAAAGTCCTGCCGTGCTCGATTCCCTCCCCGGATGCGCCTCCTGATGAGCTTCGCTTGCACTGGTGCTTGTGAGGGTGGTTCCTCAGCCCTGCCCCTTCCGCTCGTCTCCTCGCCCTTGCTCTTCCGCTCCTCGCCCGCCTCCTCGGACCGCCCGCCCCTCGTCCCTCTCTCGCTCCTCCCTGCCCCTCCCCCCTGGTCCCCAGAAGCGTCGTGAATTCCTGGAGCGTTTCGGTCGTGGCCTCAGGCCCGCGGATTCGAGGACGGCCAGTACAACATAATTCTGCAGCATGACGCTGTCGTTCGTCCCCCTCCCATGCCCATTCCGTGCCCCTCCTCGGCCCCCTCTCCCCGCGCCCCTCGCCGCCGCGCCGACAGCCCCGGCCGCGCCTCGGGGCTCCCGCCAGGTTCAGGTCGGGCGTGTCCCTAAAAAGCTCCAAAGATGCCCAAAAATGGTTACAGAATAGCCCAGCATCGTCCCCGAACTGTGTATGTCTATAGCATTTTTGGCGTTCTCCCTCCCGCAGAGGGACATGCCCGACTTCACGCCAGGCCCAGGGCGCTCGGCAGCCGCCGAAGCCGCAGCGGCGCGGCAGCCGCCGCAGCGGCGTGGCAGCCGCCGCCGCTGGCGCGGGCGCGCGCGGCGCGGGCGCGCGCCCCGGGGCGTCGGAGAGCGCGCGGCGGGCGCTGGCGCAGCGGCGCGTGAGGTGCGGAGGTGCCCTCTCCGCGGCGGGCGTGGGCACTGCTCGCCCATGCCTCCCTCCCTCCCTCCCTCCCCCCCCCACCTTCCCTCCCTCCCTCCCTCCCCTCCCCTTCCTCCTCCCTCCCCCCCTCCCCCCCCTCGCCCATGCCTTCCCTCCCTCCCCTCCCTCCCTCCCCCCCCCCCTCCCCCCCTGCACTCCCCTCCCTTTCATCGCCTCACCTCCCCTCCCCTCGCCTGCCCTCCCCTCCCCCGTCTTGCCCCCCGCTCACCACACCCGCCACCCTGCGCCTCTCACTCTTCGCCCCTCGCACGCCACCTCGCCCGCGGAGGGAGGAAGAGAGGGGTGGGGGGGGGAGGTCCAAGGGGACAGGTCGGCACAGGCATGCATGTCTCGGAGGTCCGCGCGGGATTATTGCACCTGCTCTGGGCCAGAGGGGTACAGCGCCGATCCGAGAAGTCCGCGGGGCCTCTGAGTTTGCGCTGGGGCAGTCCATTCAGATTCCCCACGTTCGAAGTATAGGGGTTCTTGCCATCAGTCAATTCGTGTGACGCCTCCGCCTCACGTCCTCCTGGTCCGCGTCCTTTCTTGTTTCATCACATCAGATCGCTCATGCTCAGACTCACTCGCACTCAGATAGCACTCGCACCCAGACAAACGGACTCTCGGACGCTCATACCCAGACTCACTCACACAGATCTTAGCGACGTGACAAGCGTGGCGTCTGAGGACCTCAGGGGGGAGCCACCGAGGGGCGTTGCAGTTGCCCGTTCGTATATCGATTGTCGGTCTGCCTCGAGCGGTTCGCTGGTTTTGACACCCCCGACTCTCTTCCTTTCAGAGCCTCACTGTCACCGCGATGTAGCAGGCATAGCACTTGCGAACCCCAACGGGAAGCAGCCAGGGAGCGTTGCATGTGGCAGCTCTCGGCAGGATCGCGGGAACTCTCAGACGAAACGCTGGTTTAGGCATCCCCGACCCCCATGCCGAGTGGAGGACGGGGCTCTGGAGGGCCGAGCGGGGCAGGGAGGCGTGGCGGGACTGGGCAGCGCGGAGGGAGGACGGGGGGGGGGCGGCGCAAGAGTGGCTCTTCGAGGCAGCGCTCCCGCCCTCGCTGCAGCGCCCTCTCATCGCGCCTTCGTCCTGAGAGCCCCTCCGCCCGCGCCTCTGCGTGCGCCCCGGCTGGATCCTCCCCGAAGTCACGCGCCCAGTGCGTCCGCCGCGCGTGATCGGTGCGTTCAGCGCACGGGCCTCGGGTGCACGCCAGAAAACGCCTCACTTCTGCGCGCCTCGCGCAGTGACGTCTGCATCACCGAACTGTTTTTTGCAAGC